ACAAACGCAGTAGTCATCCTTACCTTTCACAGAGGTACTGAGTTTTATAAATATGAGCATGATAGTGTAGAATAATCATATCCAAGGAGCAGTGGTGGGTTTCAAACATTTTTGGAACCTCTTCTGTAGGTGTGGCCTGCTTTCCGGGTCCACTGGTGGAACCTCTTCTAACCGGTTCGGTAGATTTGACGAACTGGTTCTACCGAATAGGTGCGAACTGGTAGGAACCCACCTCTGCTCATCTAAAATGTTAGTCCCAAAAGCAGAAGAATCCATTTCAATAGATCAGGGGTGTCAAATTCAAGGCCATCCCATGTGGTGCTTAGATCTGGCCCACAGGGCCACCCTAGAAACAGCAAAGGACAGGCCAGTGTCTCTGTCAGCGAAAACGCAGCTCAGGAGGGCCGCGGAAGGCCCTCCCGAGGTCTGTCTGGTTGCAGGAAGCCATTGCTGCCAAAAACAGAGCTCGGGTGTCATTTTCACTGGCAGAGCACTTGGGCCACCACAGGCACCCCTGACACGAGTAACATCGAGGGCCCCCCCAAGGTCAAACACAACCCTGATGTGGTCCTCAATGATATCGAATTTGATAGCCCTACAATACATGAAAGAACATAAGACTAGGAAATTGAGGCAAAGGAAATCAGCAGCCAAAGTAGTGAGAAGTCTTCAACCAGAAGAAAAACCTGTATGTGAAATTGTAGCAAGACTAGTGGTTAAAAGAGTCGATGTAGTCAGTTACTTACGTTTTAGGAATTACTTGTTCTTCGGCATCTTCAAAAGACATACTGTATCCCTCCCACAGCACCAGGCATTTTAAGGCATTAACAAATTGAATTCTAGTACTTGTCTTGTCATTCTTCTGCTTTCCACTTTCGTGTGTGTGTGTTGCTTTCAGGTACACCGAAGGCTGCTACATGATGACAACCGGGGTGTACAAGAGCCATTACTGGAATTTGGTGAATATCACAATGGACTAGTGGTGCGAGGTCGTCACCTTGTATTCTTAGACACAGTGGAATCATCAGCCGAGAAGCACCGTCTGTGGGCCCAGCAAGAGTACATGGCGCCACAGGTGGTGCTGACACCAGATAGTCATGACATTGTCAAAGAGGTGAGGGAAAGAAAAAAGACAAGCAGTATTCAAATATCCCCAAGTCTTCTTTATTGGTAGTCAAAATATTTTTGAAACAAATGACAGGTGGTATTTCTAAGATTATTTTAATTTTGCGAGGTTTGGAGTGCAAAGCATTCCAAGGAGGACATTTGAGCTTAGCACTTTTCTGCAATGGTTTAAAAGTAGTGGCACCTTTTCCAGGGCTTACGCAACAGCTGCCATGTATGGTTGCACAATCTAAGGCAAATACATGGCTGTTTTAAAGAATTTTGGACAGGTGCTGCCTTCATCCTTCCAAATTCCAAAGCTCCATTAGTTTTTAAATGTAAGTTTAACTTTTTAAACCGATTATCCTTTCTTGCTTTTCATAATTTGCAGGTTGTTTAGTATCCAATGGCATTCCTTTTGTGTTGAATGTTTATATTTTATAGGTCAGTTGCATTATCCAACATTGTGGCTTTTCAGGGATAGTAATCGGACAATAGGTTTGTTAGTCCAATACTTTCTCTCTCAATCCTCAGTTCTCTGCTCTCCGGCATGCCCTTCCTTTGAATGTACACTTGCTGACATTGGCCCAGTGGGAGCCTGATGCTGTTCTCATCCGTCTAGAGCACCAGTTTGAATATGGGGAGGCAGTCAATGGTTCCTTGCCTGTTGCCATTAACTTGCTGGTAGGTTTCTTATTAGAGAGAATCAAATCAGTAAAGGCATGAACTGTTTTCTGTCATTTAGCTGGACTAAACTACCATCAAAGTGGGTAATTTCTTAAACTTCAGTATCCTGTACTTAGCTTTTTAACTGAATTTCACCAAACCTATCAGGTAGGGAAGCATTAGTATCTCCATCCTGCAAATAATAGTCACAATTGCTTGTGGTTTCCATCGCCCAGTTTTCCTTGCTAGTATCTCACTTTTTTATTAGATTTATGGGGCACGCAGGATATATACAGGAGAGAAGTTTGAGATTATGCTAGTTGAAGAGCAGAACTGAAAAACAGGATTTAGTTGGGTGTGTCAGGAGGATGAAGAGAACCTGATCAGAATGAGTCTAGCATTAAGTGTCAACTGGAACCAACATCCCAATCTAGATTCTTAGTCTGTTTTTTCCACTTGGTCAGAATTTGTTCTCTTCCTTCAACATCGTCTCTGTGCAAGAGGTGAACTTGTCGGCAAACCAGAAGCGGGAGAATGTGAGCAGACTCACCTGGCAATCAACTCAAGGTGAGGGTTGAAGCGGAACTGCAGATCTGTCCCTACAGTAGTCTCTATTGCAGGGGTGTCAAACTCACCACGTCATGTTGCCGTCTTGTGACGTTTCGTGACGTGACGCAACGGCCCAGAGGCTGCCAGTTTGATATATATCCTGCTCTATTGCATCAAGGAAACTGGTACTTTCATTCATTTTTTGTCATAATGTAATAAGCGTAATTGAGTTGCACTGAAAGCTACTCCAAGGGACCTGCTCTAAGATATCTTTCTATAACCTGCAATTAGTCTTACATAGGCTACCTTGCTTCAAAATTTATGTCTGGCAGCTTTTCCAGAGCCCAAGGGGCCTCCCTAGCCTACCCACAAAGCCTGCATTTTGTATGACTGGGAAAGAGTTGGCCATTAACTATCAGCTAATTCCCACAATTACAGCTCTTGGAATACTGTAAATCCCATTGTCTCTCAATAACTGTTGCCTTTCTTGTTCCTTCTAAATGTCACAATGATATTCTATCACTGTTTCTCATCCTCCTCCTATCCATAGGGATGGCAGCGGAACGACGATCAGGGACTGGCCTAGACCCAGCACACATTGAATTATTTCCCATGCAGATCCGAACCTTCCTGGTACAGATCAGGTACTAAGGCAGGCCAAGGCAAGAGATGTAAGGAAGAATTTAGCCTGCCTTTTGGTCCGAGAAGTATTGTCTCAAGGAACAGCAGGACACTGGAGCCTTCCCCCCTCCCCTTCCCCCAGGAACCTGCACAAGAGAGAGGAAGTGGTTCCTCTCTAAGCAGGCATTGTCTTGTTCTGCGAACAGAGGATGCCCTTCAGCTGCTTTTAATGCCAGATGGTATGGGTAGTAGGACTATCTTCAGAAATTGTCCTGATTTTTTTTTTACAAATGAAAAACGAGATCACTGTTAAAAGACCACACCGGTCCAGCCTTCATGTCCTCAAAGCACATCCATAAGAAACAAGAATTGACCGTCCTTACAGAGGGTTTTGAAAGTGCTACAATATTTGGGCTGCCTTAAGTACTATCATCTTTCTAATAAATCTCTTAAATACATATAACTATTTTGCATATTGCCTCTGTATTTCTTCTTGTTAAAAGTTGGAAAGCAGTTAAGGCACCAAACTAGAAGCCAGGTGACTGTGAGTCCTAGCTTCAGCTTGGGCATGAATGAAAGCTAAGTGATTTTGGGTCAGTCAGTCCCACTGTCCACCTTCCTCACAGGGTTGTTGTTATGGACAAATAGGAAGAAGGAATATTAGATGTTTGTTGCCTTGCATTATTTATAAAAATAATACAGGTGGGATAATAAATAAACCAACAAACTCAAGATCTTGCAGAGCTCATCAGGTTCCATTAGCATGGACAATATGTTTTACTATGAAATAAGTTGTATAGTCTGGAAAATAAGCCTATCCTTGATAAATCACTAACAGGTTTGTTTTATAATGCCTTATTCAACTTTGATTCACATCAGTGACATCTCAGTATTAAGCTGAGACTTGCATTAAACTGCTTGCACCAATTTTCAGAAAAATGCATATGTAGATATTTTGAAAGCACTTTTATCTAGGAAATTTGTTACTTATAAATAATAATTGTAGCTCAGGGTTGAAATGAAGTGTGCTCTGAGCTCGGTTGTTTTCTTGCAGACATTTGTTACCTAAACTTGGTAACATAAACAGTGCTAGTCAGATGATGTTACCTGGTTTGTGCTAATGAAATGTCTGTAAGAAGATAACCGAATTCAGAGAGCACCAAGGACATTTAACTTGCTACTTCGTTGTAGCTTTATTGGGAGACATATTGTCAGTTTGAAAAGAGCAGTGAATAGGCTCATATAAACAAGGGAGAGGGGCGATTGTGAGACTCCTACCCTCACATTTTGGCCAGAACTATATGTATGATGAAAGAAAACCATATAGCCTGAAGTATATTTTTGCCAATCACAGGAAGCTGCCTTACACCAAGGGTATCATTGCTCAATCTTAACTAGTATTACTAATCTTGCCTGCCAATATAAAAAAAAAATGTTTCACATAAATATGCCTAAGCCCTGGGGTTTTCTGCATGCAGGCTGGTGCAGATAGAAGTGGGTTTTTTTAAGTAGAAAGACGACCATATGTAAATTTGTTCTCTGCTGTTCTACTTGAAGCTGAACTGGTTCTTAGATATTGTTAATCCGTGCCCTACGAAAATGCTAACGAATCAAAAGGACACTCTAATCAGTATTAAACAATCACAAATCCAAACATCATCAAAAGAGAATCGTATTTAATTTGCATGCACATTTTGACAGTCATTAAAATATAAAGATTGCCTATAAATGCAAAAATAAAAATCCCACCAGGCATTCAGGACTCATGTCGCACTACTGTTATGGTGCTTCACTCTTTCTGTGTCTCGTGAGAGTAGCAGCATTTGTCCCCTAAGGTACAGTCACCCTGGGAAGGAAAATGGCATTCATTGGAAACAACTTATTGAAGACATTTTATATTCTTGCACTTAATCCAGCCTATATTTTTTACATAAGTAGCTGATTGATTAAAAAAAACCAAAACACCTGCCTAGATAAAGCACTCGGCAGCTCTCGGAAATAGACTATGCTATCTTCACTATGTTATCTTCAGTATTTTTACATATAGAAATCAAAAATAGGTCTTCAATGAGATTTTTGTGTCAATCCTTTTCTATCACATGCCAATTGCATTTCTTCCTGGACCTGTGCTTTCACAATAAACTGAATTCAAAAAGATGCTGCCCATCTCCTTTCATGGGTCTTTAATTAGTTTCTTACCACACAGAGTAATTCGGGCCACTTACCTGTCGGAACCTTTTGCATGGAAAGTTTTTTAGGTGAGAATCGTCATTCCCTTCTGCACACACTTTCCTCTTGTTCTGATGTAACTTTCTCTTTTCCTGCAGACAAGAGGAAATCCCACCCCTAACCCAGAAAAATAATTAGGCATGAACCAAGGCAGCTGCCCTTTGGTTTTAATGAGGCACCAAAAAGGCTCATAATGGAAAACTGCAGCAAACCCTATAAAAAAATTGAGCGGTGAGTGGCAAGACATCCACCTGCTTCTGCACCCAAGAGGACTCGACTCGCCTACAACTCCTGCTATGATTAGGTTGCACCCAACAAGGAGAGGTAATGGTACCATCAGCCAAGGGCCTGAGCTGCAGCTATGGGATGTGCATAAGCTTTTTTATTTTCTGAGAAGGGAGTCAAAGATGCAGAGGAAGATACTAGCTATGCCCTGTCCTTTGCCACCCAATCTTCCGAGACAAAAGTTCTATTAACAAGACTACAATTTGCAGCCCAAACAATATATCTGGCATCAGTTTTACAACGAAGACACAGAACTCTTTTTCTTCCTCTTCAAATATCCTAGATGTAATCCCAGAGTTTTATATCTGGATGTTCTGATTTCCTCCCAGCACCCCGTGAGTCCTTTCAAATCCCTTTACCCGGCTTTTGCTCTTGCTTTGGGCCCCCAGAAGGGCTCTGGATTCATCTGGAACCGCCGGAGTTTCTGTTTTCGTGATTTAGGATTAGCATCTGCTCGGACGGTAAAGGATGCCTGCAACCTGTATACAATTTATAGAAAGTCAGAATAAGGGGCAGATTAGAATGTGTGATTGAATTCTAACCCATAGGAACCTTTTTAGTAGGTTTTGCCACTAGTAAGAGCATTTAGTATCTTACATTTTTCTCTGCAAAGAAACCGCTTCAAAATAACACTCTTGGAGATTCTCCTCCCTTTACTGCCATCCTCCCTGTATGTATGTATGTGTCTTTTTAATGTTGTTTTTTATTATTATTTTATTTTTATTTATCAAACTTCTTAATCAGCCATCTCCTTCAAACAGAGGCTCTTTTTTGTTTGCTTCCTTTTTGCCTTCAGAAACTTTAGATTTCTGCCTTCAAAACATCCAGGTTTCTAATGCCCTGCACCTCAAGAACTGTGTTTCTACCATGTGACCATCACCTACTTGGGTTCCATGGAAAGGATGTGAGCAGCCGGGCTGTGCTCTGAAAGACGCTCTCGTTTCACAGGGTTGAGCCGCTCCTGCAAGTGGGCATGGGCAGAAGGAAGAGAAGGAACAGCCGTTTAATCTAAAAAAAGAGACTAGAACAGGGGTGTCAAACTCGCATCACCACCGCGGGGTCACGTGACATGTCACTTTTTCCCCCTTTGCTAAAAGTGCATGGGCGTGGCCAGCGTGTGACGAATCCAGCCCACAGGCCGGGAATTTATAGCCCTGACCTAGAGGAAGAGTTTAGACCAAGAGCAAAGGCAACCAACTGTAGAATGGATGTCTCGGGTTGTTGTTGTGTTTTTTTCAAATCTTTTAGGGCTTCCTCACACTGAACCTTTATTAAAATTTGCAGAAAGAAAGAAAGTTTAAGCCAATTGACTTTGCCTAAAAACTAGGGAAGAGGAGAAACCAGAAAATACCTCTGTGAGAATCTTGATGCCTGGAATAGCCTTAAAGAGGCCTCCATAGTTGTTATATAGTGTCAAAAGCCAAAAAGAAATCTCCCTTACATGAAAGTTAAGGCCATTGCTCACCCAGCAGCGCATAATGTCCCAAAGCACAGATGATGGTGCATCTGTTTTGATAGCATTCTTACAGGCATGAGAAAGCGACACTTGGTAGCCAGCGTGAAGGAGAGCTGATCTGAAAAAGAATCCAGAGAAGGCTTATATTAAAACATGCCCTAACTTCCCTATGGAAAAAGATTAGCAGAGCCCCCAACATCCATTGGGACAGATCAACATTCTGTTTGAGTCGGTAGGAAAATTGGTACAATCATCTAAACATGAGACTCCAATTTGGTCAAATCTACTTTTTCTATACTGTATATTTAAATGCTGTAGCTTTTTTTTTTTTACAACTTCTTCTCTACTTTCCTATGAAATGTGTTCTTTGGATAGCCTTAAAATCACATGACATATCACTCTGCAGATCCTGAGCAGCTGTGTTTGCAATAGCAATAGCAATAACACTTAGACTTATGTTCTGACCCCCCTCATCCCACACCAACACACATTCCGAGCCAAAGGTAAGTTACGGCATTTAATTAACAGACAGACAGGTCCTTGACAGCAAACCGGCACAGACAAGCTTGGGCAGCAATCCAGCACAGATAAGGCTTGGCAGCAATNGTTTGTGCTAATGAAATGTCTGTAAGAAGATAACCGAATTCAGAGAGCACCAAGGACATTTAACTTGCTACTTCGTTGTAGCTTTATTGGGAGACATATTGTCAGTTTGAAAAGAGCAGTGAATAGGCTCATATAAACAAGGGAGAGGGGCGATTGTGAGACTCCTACCCTCACATTTTGGCCAGAACTATATGTATGATGAAAGAAAACCATATAGCCTGAAGTATATTTTTGCCAATCACAGGAAGCTGCCTTACACCAAGGGTATCATTGCTCAATCTTAACTAGTATTACTAATCTTGCCTGCCAATATAAAAAAAAAATGTTTCACATAAATATGCCTAAGCCCTGGGGTTTTCTGCATGCAGGCTGGTGCAGATAGAAGTGGGTTTTTTTAAGTAGAAAGACGACCATATGTAAATTTGTTCTCTGCTGTTCTACTTGAAGCTGAACTGGTTCTTAGATATTGTTAATCCGTGCCCTACGAAAATGCTAACGAATCAAAAGGACACTCTAATCAGTATTAAACAATCACAAATCCAAACATCATCAAAAGAGAATCGTATTTAATTTGCATGCACATTTTGACAGTCATTAAAATATAAAGATTGCCTATAAATGCAAAAATAAAAATCCCACCAGGCATTCAGGACTCATGTCGCACTACTGTTATGGTGCTTCACTCTTTCTGTGTCTCGTGAGAGTAGCAGCATTTGTCCCCTAAGGTACAGTCACCCTGGGAAGGAAAATGGCATTCATTGGAAACAACTTATTGAAGACATTTTATATTCTTGCACTTAATCCAGCCTATATTTTTTACATAAGTAGCTGATTGATTAAAAAAAACCAAAACACCTGCCTAGATAAAGCACTCGGCAGCTCTCGGAAATAGACTATGCTATCTTCACTATGTTATCTTCAGTATTTTTACATATAGAAATCAAAAATAGGTCTTCAATGAGATTTTTGTGTCAATCCTTTTCTATCACATGCCAATTGCATTTCTTCCTGGACCTGTGCTTTCACAATAAACTGAATTCAAAAAGATGCTGCCCATCTCCTTTCATGGGTCTTTAATTAGTTTCTTACCACACAGAGTAATTCGGGCCACTTACCTGTCGGAACCTTTTGCATGGAAAGTTTTTTAGGTGAGAATCGTCATTCCCTTCTGCACACACTTTCCTCTTGTTCTGATGTAACTTTCTCTTTTCCTGCAGACAAGAGGAAATCCCACCCCTAACCCAGAAAAATAATTAGGCATGAACCAAGGCAGCTGCCCTTTGGTTTTAATGAGGCACCAAAAAGGCTCATAATGGAAAACTGCAGCAAACCCTATAAAAAAATTGAGCGGTGAGTGGCAAGACATCCACCTGCTTCTGCACCCAAGAGGACTCGACTCGCCTACAACTCCTGCTATGATTAGGTTGCACCCAACAAGGAGAGGTAATGGTACCATCAGCCAAGGGCCTGAGCTGCAGCTATGGGATGTGCATAAGCTTTTTTATTTTCTGAGAAGGGAGTCAAAGATGCAGAGGAAGATACTAGCTATGCCCTGTCCTTTGCCACCCAATCTTCCGAGACAAAAGTTCTATTAACAAGACTACAATTTGCAGCCCAAACAATATATCTGGCATCAGTTTTACAACGAAGACACAGAACTCTTTTTCTTCCTCTTCAAATATCCTAGATGTAATCCCAGAGTTTTATATCTGGATGTTCTGATTTCCTCCCAGCACCCCGTGAGTCCTTTCAAATCCCTTTACCCGGCTTTTGCTCTTGCTTTGGGCCCCCAGAAGGGCTCTGGATTCATCTGGAACCGCCGGAGTTTCTGTTTTCGTGATTTAGGATTAGCATCTGCTCGGACGGTAAAGGATGCCTGCAACCTGTATACAATTTATAGAAAGTCAGAATAAGGGGCAGATTAGAATGTGTGATTGAATTCTAACCCATAGGAACCTTTTTAGTAGGTTTTGCCACTAGTAAGAGCATTTAGTATCTTACATTTTTCTCTGCAAAGAAACCGCTTCAAAATAACACTCTTGGAGATTCTCCTCCCTTTACTGCCATCCTCCCTGTATGTATGTATGTGTCTTTTTAATGTTGTTTTTTATTATTATTTTATTTTTATTTATCAAACTTCTTAATCAGCCATCTCCTTCAAACAGAGGCTCTTTTTTGTTTGCTTCCTTTTTGCCTTCAGAAACTTTAGATTTCTGCCTTCAAAACATCCAGGTTTCTAATGCCCTGCACCTCAAGAACTGTGTTTCTACCATGTGACCATCACCTACTTGGGTTCCATGGAAAGGATGTGAGCAGCCGGGCTGTGCTCTGAAAGACGCTCTCGTTTCACAGGGTTGAGCCGCTCCTGCAAGTGGGCATGGGCAGAAGGAAGAGAAGGAACAGCCGTTTAATCTAAAAAAAGAGACTAGAACAGGGGTGTCAAACTCGCATCACCACCGCGGGGTCACGTGACATGTCACTTTTTCCCCCTTTGCTAAAAGTGCATGGGCGTGGCCAGCGTGTGACGAATCCAGCCCACAGGCCGGGAATTTATAGCCCTGACCTAGAGGAAGAGTTTAGACCAAGAGCAAAGGCAACCAACTGTAGAATGGATGTCTCGGGTTGTTGTTGTGTTTTTTTCAAATCTTTTAGGGCTTCCTCACACTGAACCTTTATTAAAATTTGCAGAAAGAAAGAAAGTTTAAGCCAATTGACTTTGCCTAAAAACTAGGGAAGAGGAGAAACCAGAAAATACCTCTGTGAGAATCTTGATGCCTGGAATAGCCTTAAAGAGGCCTCCATAGTTGTTATATAGTGTCAAAAGCCAAAAAGAAATCTCCCTTACATGAAAGTTAAGGCCATTGCTCACCCAGCAGCGCATAATGTCCCAAAGCACAGATGATGGTGCATCTGTTTTGATAGCATTCTTACAGGCATGAGAAAGCGACACTTGGTAGCCAGCGTGAAGGAGAGCTGATCTGAAAAAGAATCCAGAGAAGGCTTATATTAAAACATGCCCTAACTTCCCTATGGAAAAAGATTAGCAGAGCCCCCAACATCCATTGGGACAGATCAACATTCTGTTTGAGTCGGTAGGAAAATTGGTACAATCATCTAAACATGAGACTCCAATTTGGTCAAATCTACTTTTTCTATACTGTATATTTAAATGCTGTAGCTTTTTTTTTTTTACAACTTCTTCTCTACTTTCCTATGAAATGTGTTCTTTGGATAGCCTTAAAATCACATGACATATCACTCTGCAGATCCTGAGCAGCTGTGTTTGCAATAGCAATAGCAATAACACTTAGACTTATGTTCTGACCCCCCTCATCCCACACCAACACACATTCCGAGCCAAAGGTAAGTTACGGCATTTAATTAACAGACAGACAGGTCCTTGACAGCAAACCGGCACAGACAAGCTTGGGCAGCAATCCAGCACAGATAAGGCTTGGCAGCAATCCAGCCTGCCAAGCTCACAAAAATGTTCTCCGACATTCGTTCTTGCGTTGACTTCTGCAAGAGGGGCGTGTGCACAAGCAGTCTTTTTATAGTCTGGAGAGGAGCCTAATGACCACCAGCTGAGTGCAATTCCCTCCTGTACTTGCCCAATTGTTCCT